ACCAGCTGGTGACCCACTTCGACCTCCAAGAGCATCTTCCAGTCTGAGACACCCCACCTCCTCTCACCCTCGTCGGCTCCTTCCCCCGCTCTACACGCCCTCGCTCACCGAGTCGAAGCTGGACGCTCACTAGTTCCCTCCGTCCTGAGCTCCGGAGTCAGGACCCCGCCGGCTTCAAATTCCCTGCTGAAATTGGGCTGGGGGAGGGGGAGGAAAGGAGGAGGAGGTGTTTGCTCAGCTTCCGAGGAGGGCACGCCTCTTCTCCCCGCAGCCAATCAGTGGCAGCCTGAAGGGAACAACCTCCTCCTCCGCCAATCAGAGGCGCTTCCAGGTACTAGGTCAAGCCCTGCCCCTGCCCCGCCCCTAAAGCCCAGCAGCCTTTCAGATCTCTGACCTGTGCGTTCAGCTCCGGCCCGCGTCCCACCCGGATCGTTTTTATTGACCAGGTTTGTAACTGCCTGTGACAGGAGGCAGGCGGGGACCGAGAAGGAGAAAAAGAGCAGACTCAAGAGTTGTGCACATTGCGTGAGGAAAAAAAGACAGTTACGAGAGCATGTGTCTTCTGTGATACGTCGTTTTCAGAGCAATTTCACGTAACTTCATATTCTTTACACAAACATCGGTTTTTATACCACCTGTAATCCACTCACAATAATTAGTGGTTCTTCTTCTTCTAAACAGAACTTTCTTGTAGACAGAAAGCAACATTTCAAATATACGAAACGAGTAGTTTAGGAAAGACAAGATTTTACATAGCTATTAACTACTGTCGCCTAACTCCCAGGTTATTCTGGAAATGAGGCATATCTTCTCTGTCTTCAAAGCATGTAAAATTCATTCAGGTGATACGAGAAGAGGAACCACCCACAGACAGGTCTCAATTGGAATTCCTAGAGTCAATTGTGTGTAGAGATAGTGAAAGCCCAGAATTATTGTTCCACCACCACCATAACCAGCACAGGAAGCAGACATCAGTTCTGTTCTTAGGTCTGAAACTCTTCCTGGGGGAGGGGGGATGCAAGAAAATTCCAAACCTGATGTTTCTAGGCTCACTTTTTTTTTTAATGTTTCAAAAACTCTTCTGGAATCCCTTGAGAGTTACATGTACAGGCTAATTACACAGATTTGTCCCTCAAAACTACTGCCTTAGTAACTGGTCTTACACATCCACCAAGTCTTTAGTATTTTAGTGATATTGGAGTTTGAAGTCAAGGTCTTGAGCTTGTTAACACTCTACCACTTGAGCCAGGACCCCAGTCCCTTAACATTTTGGTTTAAGAAAAAAAAAATCTTGCACTTTAGCCCTGGCTGACTTCAAACCATAATCCATTTTACCTCTAGCTTTCTAATAGCTATGATTGCAAAGATGTACCACCAACACACTGCTCAGCTTGGTTTTGGTTTTGTTTGATTTTTTTTTGTTTCTTGGTGTTTCAGCTACTAAGTATTGAACTTATATCCTTGAACTTCCTAGAGAGTAATGCTACCACTTGAGCCATGTCCCTAGATCTACTAGGACTTACAAATTTTCAGCCACGTAGCACTGACTCATTATGTATGAGGCATATGAGAATTAAACACTACAATAATGTGAGGAAATTTGAGTAGCTCATAGATGTACTGGATCTAATATATTCAAATCAATGAAGAGAACCCAGAGTTCCACCCTCTAGCATTTCCTGAAACAAGTTTCAAAGTAGAAAATGCCTGAAAGGACTGGGGAAAAAACGAGAAGAAACAATCAAAGCAGCACAAAACAAGCATGATCTTTCTGGCAGCCTATAAGACATTTAGGTGATAGAAAGAGTGAAGATCTCCCTTTAATCCCAATAGTCATCTCACTATTGAGACAATACCTTTTTATTGTTATAAGCTACTCAGCTTGGGGCTGGGAAGGTGGCTCAGTGGTAGTGCTTGCCTTGCATGCATGAGGGTCTGGGTTCGATTCCTCAGCACCACATAAGCAGAAAAAGCTGGAAGTGGCTCTGTGGCTCAAGTGGCAGGGCGCTAGTCTTCAGCTGAAGAGCTGAGGGACAGCGCCCAGGCCCAGAGTTCAGGCCCCACAACTGAAAAAATAATAATAAGCTACTCAGCTTGTGAAGCTGTTAGAAAATAACACAGTTTGGAAATGTCCTGGATCAATGTGGTCCACTAATACTGGGGTCACAGTTTATATATTACTAACCTCACTAAACCACCTAAATTGCACAATAAACAGAAAAGGTACAAACCTACACAATTACTCACAGACAGAAATTTAAAGTCAAGATGACTTTGAATGATTGTCATAAGATGGTTTCCAATGTCCAGAGAAACCTAAGCTGAGCTAAAGCTTTGCAGTGAGCTCCAATATCAATTTGAAATACAGGAACACCATAGCTGTAAGATTCTACTTTTACACCTGTGCTCTGTAGTGTGGCTTCGAATACCTGTGCCTATGGGTTTTAGAGAAATGGCCTACAGTTTCTATAGACATACCTATCTAGGAATTGTATCTCATACATACAAATATGTAAAAAGGAAGAGGTAAAAAAGTATTTGTCTTAAACTAATCTTTGGCAGTTCTGTAACTCACACATGCTCTTTAGACAGGCTGATAAAATTTTCTGAATATTCACTGAGAAACACAACATTGTTATTGTTATATAGGCTGTGCTGGGTACAGTACCTCTTAGAATATGAGAAAAGTCAACAAAACACATGAAAATCAACAAAATGAAGGGATGCATGGCTAATTTTAATAACTGATGTTAAATGAATCATTGAAGATACTTAAGAATTTCACAAGTTGTCTTCTCAATTAGATATGAAATAGATTTAACAATGTAAAGAAATTTATCTAATGATTTGCTTTCTACCTATAGTAATGGCAATGATAATGGTAACAAAAGAACAGTAAGATGCATAGAATCTTTTAAAAAGCTTTTAAAAAGGTAAGATAAAATGTCCTGCTCGTCCATACCCCAATATTGGAGATTTAAGAGCAGATTTTGGAGGCCTAAAGTGTCTCAGGGCATCCTACAAGCATTTGTTATGTTATAAAATTAGGTACAAAATAAATAACAATGACTGGTTAGCAAATTAAAAATCCACATCCCATTCTTATGGCTGTTTTAGTTCATCTGTATTTGTAGAGAGGATAGCATGGCTCTAACAAATATTTGGTACAGGATAGAACACACAGAAAACAATATATGCAAATTAACATTAAATTGGCACTGGGCCTCTGTATCTCTGCCTCTGTCTGTCTGTCTCTTTCTGAGTGTCTGTCTTTCTCTCTTCCCCTCCTTTTGTTCAACCTACATAGCCAATCCCTACATTCTAATTGAGAATCACTGGTGGAACAGCCAGTTTCTTTGGCATCTCCAGTAAGGACTAGCTGGCACCAATTCCACACAAGAAATATTTGATTCTTCCATTCCCCATATTCACACACTCACAGAAATGCACATACACACACATTCACAAAATAGAGTCCACTCCATTCTCTAAGTACCAACCATGACCTCAATTTAAGATGAAGATATAATACAGTAGATTCCAGACTTTGTTGTAGATCAGAATCATTAATGAGAAAAATGATCTGATAAATATACATATATATATATATATATTTAAACGTAGATTTTTAAAAAGGATAAACCCAGGTGTGGTACTCACTTCTGTAATCCCAACCACTGTAGAGGTAGATTAAGAGTATGATTCAAGGCCAACCCAGGGAAAAAAGCTAGTGAGACACAGTCTCCACAAAGATGTCTGGTGTGTTGTGCACCTATGATCCCAGCTATGCAAAAGACTACAGGTAGGAAAATCTGGTTAGAACAGAGGCTGACTCCAAGAAGAAACAAGTCAACAGAAAAACTAACTAAAGGGTGTAGAGAGCTGTGTGCAGACGCACCTTAAAGATGGCGCCGGCTTCCGCCCTCTGCCTTCCTGATGGCCAGTGCTCTCTGTGGTAAACAACTCCTTATATGGCTAAGGGAAAGAATCTGGCTTGCTTCCGCGCACCTGAACCTATTGGTGGTTCCCACGTGGCGTATCAGGGTTGGCTACCCAGCTGATACTTAAGGCTGTGTGGGATTCTCCCCAGGGTCAGTCAGAAGATTGCTCAAAGGTCCTGAATGAACTGCAGAGAGAAGAGCTCGGTGTTGCGTCTTCCTTGCTGGTCGAGGCGGACGTGACAAAAGGGAAAAATAGAAAAAGACAGAAGATAGAAAAAATACAGAAGCATGGTTCAAACAGTAGAGTACCTGCCTATCAAGTTCAATGGCTCTGGGTTCAAACTCCAGCAGCAACAAATCTAAGAAATTAATAAACAACAAATTGAAAAAGATGATGGGCTTCACTGGATCAAGGAATAAACCTATCCCTTTAGTTAAAAGGAGCCACATCATTTTCCCCTGAGGAAAGGTCTCAGCAGGACCTGGTATGCTTTTGTGAAGATGATTAACCTCATTTCATACATACTAAGTTTAAGGTACCTATAGATTGTGTCCAAATCAAGCTATCTGATACCATGTACAGGATTTACAACCACATATGCCTTTGCCTTCTTGTATATGAATCCCACAAAGTAAGAGAATGTACCTATTCACCTTTGCAGCCTTAGTGATCAGATAAGGGCCTGTATAAAATACAGCAGGGGTTCAGTAATATTTGATGAATAGATGAATGAACAACCAAAAGGACATTACCATGTCAACCAAAAGGATGGGGCGTACATTACCATATCTGAGGTTTCCTCAGAAACTGAAGCTTTTCCCTGTACTTTGCAAATCCCAAACAGACATAGGAGACACCAGTTCTCCCATATTACCAGGAGCTCCCAAAGACTGCTTTCTCCTAAAGTCCCTTGCACCATCAGCTCATACCACTCCTCCTTCTATTATTCTGTAAGGCTAATTGCTCATCTTGTCTGAGACAAGCAGAAATGGTCAGATAAGTGGATGTTAAGTGAAATGAACTCCAAGATAAGGACTCAAATGGTTTTTTTCTCTCTTGTTATTGTTTCTAACATATTTATAAGATATTTCTTTGCTGTTTTGTATGTCCTTCCCCCACGGTATAACCCCTGTTTTCACTGTATTTGATGTTGGTATAATTTGTGGAGGGGAAGGGAAAAAACAAATTGTTTAAATAGGAATACAGATGGACCCACAGCAACAATGAGATGTACAAGATGAACTTTACAACTTGGGGGGGG